CCCGCGCTAGCCTAAGGGCCACCTTAGCAAAGCGCATCCCAGGCTGCATAGCCGCACTACCCTACCCAACCATACCACACATAAACATGACACTACCCCCGGGGTTTACACAGACGAGCCGGCGAAGCAAGAAGAGCGCCAGAAGAAAGGGCCCTAGCCGGCGGGGCCCAGCCAGGACAAAAGGAGGTCCCACAAAGCGCCTACACCGGCCGCATTTGCGGTCGGGGTAGACGACGGATGGGGACTACCTACGAAGGCGGTTCAGGCCTACACGAGATGAGGCAGGATAAAGAGGGATAATCCCCCTCGATCCCAAATCATTGAAGCCAATTTCTAGTCATGGAATAATGGCGCGGCGATTGAAATATTCTCTCTACACAATACAATAGACTTTTTTTTGTGACTGAAAATTGGTGAATATCTTACTTGTAGTTACTATTTCTGTCTCTTTTGATCTTAGTTGTCATATGGTGGTTTAAATCTCTTTACTCACTCATACTACGCATTCTACATACAACATATGTCCATCAACGTAACCAGTAATATAAAGAAATCATTGTCCGTTTCCTCATATTTCCAGTATTTGCCGCTAGATGGCGCCATGACCCTAAAAACCATCTCAATCTCGTGATAATCTGTTCTAAACATATCTTAGGTATGCGGTGGGGCATGTCCGTAGGTCCCAGGGATGTACAGTCCTGTGCAAGGACTCCCGAAATGTCGATTCGATGATTTCCAGTCGAGATCGAAACAGTATTAAAAATTCGCCCAATCCAATCGATATAATATCGAGAAGTCTCGGCTCGCTTAAATGATTTGCTCTTCTTCTTCTACCACATGTATAGACTGTTGCTGTTAATCACTATCTATAATTTTGGGCGTCGAGTATAGATGCTTAAAAAATTTCTGCTTCCCATTTTTTTATGATAGCTACCATTCTGGCTCGTGCCACACTGCGTAAAATGTCAAATACTAACATAAATATAAAATAAAAGAACATCCTACCTGACTTCGTTTGTTTTTTTTTAATGAAATCTTATTGTTAATTCATAATAAATATTGTTTATCAACCAATTGTGCATTTTTATGAAATATTTGAAGAATATTCCTACAAATACATAAGTATTTATTATAATATTTCGTTTGTTCGTAATTTTCGAGATGAAAAAATAATAAAAAACCATATGGTAGGTACGTTTTGAAAAAAAAATGTCACGCGACTGACTCGAACCAGGGATCTCGTGACTGTCAGTCCCGAACGCTACCAATTAGGCCACGCTCCCAGTTGAAGAATGCGTTACATCTAGTGAATTTAGCTGTCAGGTAAAAAATTCTTATTCAAGGTCCAACCTACACGTACCATAAATATCAAAAATTACAAAAATCCAACTACCTTACCTTCTCCTTTCAGTATTAGAGATTGAACTATATTTTTAGATAAAGGTTTATTCAATGACGACGAACCATAGACAAGGTATTTTTGATGTATATTAATTAACTTATAATAAACAACTCTTGAACAATGAGTGTTTTTTTTGCATCCACTATCAAGTAAACAACCTAATGTATTACTTAACACCTTATGAACAATAAAAAACAAAATTTTGTACTTACCTTCAACAATTCACTAATTTTCGTGCTCTACGCATTCAAAAGAAAAATTGGTAAAACTACAACACTATTTATTAAAATTATATAAAGTACACAAAAACTGTTAATCCCAAGGTTCTCTCACGCGAAGGTGCGCCAATGTACCTTCGATAGTGATATGGTTATAGAAGGGTTTCCTGTTTGTTTTGGTTTTGAAACGTTTAGAGAAAAATGGAAACATGTCAGAAACTGAAAAATGTTTGGTGGGTAAAGTCGTTGTAGTACCACAAAGTACGAATAAGACGATCTCAAAATCTGTAAAAAAAGATAATACTTATTAAGGGAATGCGCCATATGCTGGCAAACCATTATACGTATTAACTGACGTTTTAACGCCCTTATAGAGTTAATACAGCACAATTATCATTCAAATTACCTTCATCAGTGTTGGTATGTTCAATTCAAAGAAATTCCCAGCCCTAAGTATCGCAGGTCTCTTGGCCATTTCCATTATCATAACCAGGGACTTCTGAACAGTCAAATCGGATCCATTCCACTCAGCTAAGTAGCAAGCGTCCCTAATCTTGTCACTCTGAAACAACTAGATGTCTTATTTATGTTAATACAAAGAAAAAGGATATTATTACACTCTCCATGACGGTATGTTCGTACCAGCAGTACATGGCCACCTGACACATATGCACGAGAAGTATACTATTAGTAAAAGGAACTGCATGCTGCTGAAGGATATCTGAAAGGTTGACACAGAGATAAAAGTCTGATTTGTTGAAATTGATTAATTTCGCACGCACCACTATCATCTGATGATACGTAGATTTAAAAGTCGGTTTTAAGTTGTATTTATATCGATTCAAATTTGAAACGTTTTCTCGCGTCGCGGAACTAGCCGTCTTATCGGCATAATTTTTGTTCAACTTAAATTTACGCATGAGGAGAGAGAAAAATTGTAGAAGTTAGTGTTAGAAGTTTACCAAGGTGTGCACATGTAGTTGATCAATTCTTGTAAATTCTACCCACAAAAAGGGCATCTACATTGATTCAAACTATGAAAATGTAACTTATGGTAGTAGTTGCAGTTACATTTGGTTTCGCTTTGGGCGGATTTTGTTTAGTGCACATTCTTTGGTGTTAAAGGAAAAACGCCTTTCTACAATAAGGATCCTGTGTGGAAGGTTCGTAACTTTTTTGTTTTGTACACATTTTACTGGCTTCATCTTTGAATTATTGTTAATATTAGCTACATAAGTTTTTCTCTCTCGTGCAGGCGTTTTGTTCTCTGGCATTTCCTTTGTTAATCGAGGAACAATTTGTTTATCGCCGACATTTTGAGATTCAACCCGGAATTGCTTTTTACCGACGCCACAATTGTGAATCTGACGTCACGGGAAGTATTCGAGTACCGGGCAGGCAGGATTCTCCAGGAAGCCAGGCCGAGGACCTCGATAAGTACCCTATTACGTACCTAGCTCAGTTAAAATACTGTTTTTATTTTTAAATGCCATATATCTCTTAATTTGAAGTGTTTATCCATTACTAAGGTTACATATTTCATTATCGCGTGGTGAATTTTATACCGCAGGCAACAAGAAATGATCTACACAAAGTTCAGATCTGATATAGCACATTTTTGTTTTTATGTTGATTGTTGATATATTTATGTACTATTTGTTCGTAGACTCGGAGTGTGAGTTCCTTTTTTTTTCTTGTTATTATACACCTCCACGATCCTAGTCTGCTTACCTCTTGCAAGAGCCAGGTTTTACTTAAGTTGTTTTTTTATATTCCCGTTTGTGTATTCATCAGAAAATACTACACATATATTTTCTACTACCTCATTCTTATAACTTTTATATTGAAAATATATCTTGTATTATTTACTCTTAATTATTTTTTTTTCTGCATTCTTATTTGCTGGATCACTTATACAGGGAAAATAATTTTAGTAATTTTATGTCTTCCCTGGGCTTTACAAGCTATTCATTTAAATAAAATTACTTGGCGCCTCAACCCCAATTAGTAACCATAATAAAACTACTTCCCACGCCCAAAAGCAACCGCTGAGTGATGCCAGGGTAACAACAAAAAAAATTGATAACTGTTTTTATTCAAAATCAACGTAACACTGAAACCCTAATAGGCAAATGACTATGACACTGCAGAAAAACTGCACAAAAATCCCTTTTGAGAACGTAAGTTCTATTTGATTTACCAAGCTGCAACAGAAATTTTGTGTATTGTTCCCTAATATAGTATTTCTTTTGCACAAAATAAAATTTTTTTATAGCTACTAAATTGCTTCATTTATCAGACAAAAATGAAATTAAAAAATAGTTGTTTCAAACTTTCAAACACATTTTTAAATCTTAGAATAACATCCAACAGATTGGCTTACCAAAGTAACTCACACAATCCCTTAACTTTATCTTTACCACTGCATCTCCGTCGACACTTGCAGATGTAGACAGGGGTTGTAAAATAGTAGCCAATCTATTCCTCAAAACCTCAAATTCAGCCGTCGCTAATACACACATCATGACAGTCAATAAATCGATGTTGAAATTGATCCACGCCCCAACGGCTATACTTAGAATCTCCAAAAAAAATACTTGGTAGTAATACTTAGTTTCATCAAAGGGGAACCAGCAAGTTAAAGGAAATTTGTGACTTTCCCCAGATCGATTGTCCAAAAATGGAAACAGAGCATAGAACAGAACCACCAAAAAGTACAACGCCCTGTAGACCTTAGCTAGAAGCCTTCCTTCCTTCATGTGGTTTTCCAGAACGTCGATCTCTTTCTGAGTTACGTTTGTCAGAAGATAACTCTGCAACATCACCTCACTTCATCAAATTGGTTTTCTGTGCAACAAAATTTGTCAGTTTATTCAGAAAAGCGAACTGAGTCATGCAGAATAAAAGAATTTCTGAGAGTTTCTCTAGATTTGAGGAGTTAAAATATGAAAATGTAGCCATGGAGAGGAACTGAGACCACGATATGAACAAGTTGAAAATGCAGCTTAAGACGTAGACGTGTTTATATTTGATGTGGGTACCTAGGTAGAACCCACCGAGGGTTAAATGGTACTTTTCAGTATCAAAGGAAGCCAGCAAATCGAATTTCTGAAGGAAAAAAATGGGTAGTGATGTTAAATGAATTATAAAGGGCGTCCCAAAATTCACGAAAGAGGTACGCGTTGTTTTTTCGTATAGCGCTTTATTTTTAATAACCCTGTACTGTCAGCTGTCTCTTTTTTTCGTTGGCAATACTTTACCGCCAAACGGTACAAAATTCAAAACTTGGGTAAATTTTGGGACACCTGATATAAGGTGTCCCGAATTTCAAACTACAGGGTGTTTATTAAGCACTTGTACAAACTTTAAAGGATGAATCTTTTACTAATATTAAGACAAAAAGTTCATATGAGTTCATTCTGTATCTCAAGAACCAAGCCGTTGCAGACCCACGTTCATATGAACTTTTTATCTCAAAATTAGTCAAAGATTTACCCTTTAAAGTTTGTACAAGTACTTAATATACACCCTGTATACCGGAGTTAATTCGAGGTGCTTTTCGTCGAGGGGGCCTCGGCAAAAAAAGTATTTTATATATTTTTATATAAATATANAAATCGATGTTGAAATTGATCCACGCCCCAACGGCTATACTTAGAATCTCCAAAAAAAATACTTGGTAGTAATACTTAGTTTCATCAAAGGGGAACCAGCAAGTTAAAGGAAATTTGTGACTTTCCCCAGATCGATTGTCCAAAAATGGAAACAGAGCATAGAACAGAACCACCAAAAAGTACAACGCCCTGTAGACCTTAGCTAGAAGCCTTCCTTCCTTCATGTGGTTTTCCAGAACGTCGATCTCTTTCTGAGTTACGTTTGTCAGAAGATAACTCTGCAACATCACCTCACTTCATCAAATTGGTTTTCTGTGCAACAAAATTTGTCAGTTTATTCAGAAAAGCGAACTGAGTCATGCAGAATAAAAGAATTTCTGAGAGTTTCTCTA